TGAGGCAAGCTTAACTGAGAAGGGTAGTCCCACTAGCACACAGCGGGGTGGGAATTGGTGTAAGCAAGTCTGGCAGCCAGTGTCCGTTCTGAGCTGCATCCCTCAGGTGGCTCTGTGTTTATGCTGAGGGGCTGGGGAGGGAAACAGCGCCAGCTAGCTCTTTCATTCCCAGAGAGGCCTGAAGGAATAATCTTCCTCCTGTGTATCCCAGGCGTTCTTCAGATTGCTGTTTCCATTCTGTCTTACCCCAGGTTATTTGCCTGCCTTCTCTCCAGGAGCAGTGCAGTGCCCTCCATTTTCTATCCCAGCGAAGCCTGCTGACCTTTAAAACTTCACTCTTTAAGCCCACTGGTTGCAAAACACGAAATTCTGTGGTGCCTGGGTGGCTCAGTCGGTTAAGCAAAACACGAAATTCAGCCCTTCTCATTTTCCTCATTTTACAAGCCAGTGGCTTTGGTGAAACATTCTCCTTGTGCATTCCCCTATGTGCCCACCGCCCCCCCTGCCTCCCTCCCTCCCTCTTCTCTGCAACCACAGCTCCCTCCCTTCCACAGCACTCATGGTCTGTTTCCCCCCTAAACAAAGTCTCTGTACTACCCACCTTCTTCAGTGTGGTCTCTTCTGTCCTTTTATTTGTGGTTTGTTCTATCAGTCTTCAGGTTGATTTCTGGGGAATTTAGGATGATTTGATAGTTATTTTTTTAAGTTAATTTATTTTTGAGAGAGAGCATGCACACATGAGTGAACAGGGGAGGGGCAGAGGGAGAGGGATAGTGAGAATCCCAAGCAGGCTCTGCGCTGTCAGTGCAACGCCTGACATGGGGCTTGATCTCAAAAACCATTAGATCACGACCTGAGCCGAAATCAAGAGTCAGATGTTTAACCAACTGAGCCACCCAGGTGCCCCTGATTTGATAGTTATCTAGTCATGTTCATGGGAAGAGACAAGCCTCGTGTTCTCCTACTCTCCTACCATCTTCCTTTCCTCCTTCTCTGTTTAATTTTTTGACCCATAAAAAAAGAATGAAATTTGATGATTTGCAACAATATGGATGGGTATAGAGTATATTATGCTAAGTGAAATAAGTCAGACAGAGAAAGGAAATATATACCATATGATCTCATTAATATGTGGAATCTAAAAAAGAAAACAAAGGGGCGCCCTGGCTAGCTCAGTTGGTTGAGTGTCTCTTGAAGCGTCTCTTGATTTCGGCTCAGGTCATGATGTCACGGTTTGTGAGATTGAGTCCCACATCAGACTCTGCACTGTCTGCTTGGGATTCTCTCTCTGCCTCTCCCCTGCTCGTGCTCACATGCTGTCTCTCTCTCTTTCTCTCAAAATAAATAAACATTAAATAAAAAGAAACAGGGCAGGAATTTGTTGCGGGAAAGCTGGTGTCAAAATAGAAACTGAGCAAACATTCAGCATTTTAAAAATAATAATAAAATATAATGGGGCACCTAGGTGGCTCAGTCAGTTGAGTGTCTGATTTTGGTTCAGTTCATGATCTTGTGGTTTGTGAGTTGGAGCCCCACATTGGGCTCACTGCTGTCAGACTGTTAGCGCAGAGCCCACTTCGGATCCTTTGTCCCCCTCTCTGTACCCCTCCCCTGCTTGCGCTCTTCCCAAAATAAATACGTATTTAAAAAATAATAATAATTAGGGGTGCCTGAGTGGCTCAGTCAGTTAAGCATCCCACTTTGGCTCAGGTCATGATCTCATGGTTCATGGGTTCGAGTCCTGTGTCAGGCTCTGTGCTGACAACTCAGAGCCTGGAGCATTCTTCAGATTCTATCTCCCTCTCTCTCTGCCCCTCCCCGACTCATGCTCTGTCTATGTCTCTCAAAAATAAAGAGTAAACATTAAAAATATGTATATTAAAAATAATAAAATATAAAAAAGAAAACAAGCAAGCAGAGTCTTAAATACAGAGAACAAACTGGTGATTGCCAGAGGGGAAGTGATTATGGTGATGGGCAAAATAGATAAAGTAGATTAAAAGGTATAAACTTTCAGTTATAAAATAAATAATTCATGGACATGAAAAGTACAGCATAGGGAATATATTCCATAATATTTTAATAACGTTGTATGGTGACTACACTCATCATGGTGAGCATTGAGTACTGTGTAGAATTTTAAAATCAATATGTTTTGCAAATGAAACTAATAAACATTGTTTGTCAGTTATACTTCAAAAAAAATATACAGCAATTTAAATTTATCAATGGCTTAAATTTATCAAGGCACTATATCACTTTCCTAGAATGGGGTGGTTAAACTACTGCTGACTGGCCAAATCAGGCCCATGGCCTCTGTTTCTACAGTCTGAGTGTTAAGAATGGTTTTTACATTGGTAAAAGGTTGTAAATGAAAATTTTTTAAAAATGTCAATGAAAGTTTGTGTGGCTGGCAAAGCCTAAAACATTTACTGTTTGACATTTTATGGAAAAATATCCTGACCCCTATCCTAGATTATTTTTTAACAGATTTATTGAGGTATAATTAACATACCTTACAGTTTACACTGTGAAGTATATAATTTAATGATTTTTAGAATATTTAGGTTTGTGGAACTGTCAACACAACAGAATTTTAAAACATTTTCATCAATCTAAAAAGAAATCCCTTACCTATTAGTAGTCATTCCCCATCCCAAGCACAAAACCTAGGCAACCACTAATCTATTTTCTGTCTCTATAGATTTGCCAATTCTGGATATTTCATATAAACTGCATCATAGGACTTAGTCTTTTCTGACTGGCTCCTTTTATAATTTTTCAATAATGTTTAATAGGTTCTCCATGTTTCAGTTTGGATCGGTACTCCATTCCCATTGATGGCTGAATGATATTCCATTGTATGAATATACCACATTTTGTTTATCCACTAATCCTTTGATGGATATTGAGTTTTTCCAATTTTTAGCTTATTTTCCAAATAATGCTATGATGATCATTCATGTACAAATTTTGTATGGATATGCTTTTCATTTCCCTTGAGTATATACCTAGGAGTGGAATTGCTAGGTTTTATGCTCAATCTTTTGAGGAACTACTAGACTATTTTCCAAAGCAGCTACACCATTTTTCACTCCCACCAGCACTGGACAAGGGTTCCACTTTCTCCACTTCCTTGCCACCACTTGCTGTTCTGTCCTTTGGATTATGGCCATGCTAGTGAGTATGAAGTGCTATCTCATTGCAGTATTGATTTGCATTTTTCTTTAAAAATTTTTTTAATGTTTATTTATTTTTGAGAGAAAGAGTGAGACAGAGTGTGAACAGGGGAGGGGCAGAGAAAGAGACAGGGAGACACAGAATCCAAAGCAGGACTCAGGCTCCAAGTTGCCATCACAGAGTCTGACAGAGGGCTCGAACCCACGAACTGCAAGATCATGACCAGAGCTGAGGTCACTTAACTGACTGAGCCACCCAGGCACCCCCTCTCTGTTAACTTCTAAACTATCTTCTGTTGGTATTACACCCAGATGTTAATCTTGACTAATTACTAGGGTGGTTGCTTTATGCGTAGGTTGTAAGTGTGTGTGTGAGCACATGTGCATTTGTGTGTGTTTAAAAATGCTTTTTGGCATAAATTGTTCCAGAGTCTGATCCAATTAATGTAAGTCCCTTTGAAGTAGTAGGGATCTTCTTAACTTTCTCTTTCTCTGGTTCCCTCTGTAAACCTGTGGCTGATCTTCTGTTTTGCATGTTAATATCATTGAGCTATCAGCCTCTTTTTAAGCACCCAATACCAGAATCTCCTCTGTGGTTTTTTTTGTTGTTGTTGTTGTTTTGTAGTGGTCTTAGACTTGAACATCCCCAACCTCTGTTCCAATTAAAGTCAGTCCCCTTAGGGGGTGATATAGAGCTTACTCTTCTTTTTTCTTTTTTTCTTTGAGACACACACACACACACACACACACACACACACACACACACACGTGAGCAAGAGGCAGAGGGGGAGAGAGAATCTTAAGCAGGCTCCACGCCCAGCATAGAACCTGATGTGGGACTCAATCTCATGACCATGAGATCATGACCAGAGCCCAAATCAAGAGTTGTACACTTAACTGGTTGAGCCACGCAGACTCCCCTTAAGCTCGTTCTTCTAATAACCTGCCCCTCCTCCTCCTGAGAAGAAATTTTGTACCACTGTTTTAGAGCTGGAGGTGGGAACAGCAGCACATTTCTCTCAGAGTGACAGTGCAGCTGTATGAGTAAGGGGCTGGGCAGGAGTCATAGTACCTGTCATTCTGAGCTTGCTTCTTCCAGCATGGAAATCCTGTCCTATAAGCAAGCTGAAGTGAGGGAAATTGAGACCAAATAATCATAGTTTTCCATGCCTAGTTATTGGACCTGGGTAGATGAAGAGAGCTCCAGGCCTCTCATTTGTGCTTTTTTATAATAGAGCTTCTGCAATACAGACCTGGGGGAGGAGGAGGAGAGATGCTGGCAGGATGCCCTTCTGGAAATCCCTAACCTGGAGGCTGAGAGTAGAGGGCCATACCCACCTAAAGTAGCACTCATACTGAGCTTGGGGTGGTTGGTGAGCAAATCATGGTTCCAACTATCACAGGTAGTTGAGATTAGTAGATTTCTGTAAATAGAGGTTTGTCTGTTTTCTCTTTGCCTTTTGGATAGTTTCCTGAGAGTTTACATAATTGTGTTTTATAATTCACCAGTTATGGTTGTTTTGCTAGGGAGAGGGTCCATGGAACTCCTCATACTACCATTCTGGAAGTGATACTCTTTTTTCCTAGATTATTAAACAGATTGGTAGTGCTCAAGATTTTCTATTTAATCTTCATTTCCTGGGACATTAAGAAAACTACAAATAGAGTTATTTTTATATAAACTATGAAATGTCAAGGTTCAACTGTTACTTTTTTATCATTGTATTTTAACTGTTTTTAATGAATAAGATATATTATTTTAACTTGCTTAAAGTTTTGTCTGGTTGAGACTAATTTTCTTGTTGCATTGTTGCCAAATAGACCCAGCTACTGAATCATGCACTTGAGGAGATAAATGAATGCAAACACATCTGGAATATTCTGAAAGAAACAGGTACAGTGGGAACTAAGAGTTTGGTAACACAGTTATGAAAGACATTTCAAGTCTAAATAACCCAGTCTTTATTACCAGAAATCTGTGCCACTTCAGTGCTTAATAACCAGTCAAGTGTTTCTTTGAGGACTAATTTTTCCCTACTGTCTGTATGTAGTTTGACTCTGTGACACACTGCTTGGACTAATAATTTTTTTACTTTGCTTTTTGTGGAGGTATAGTATTGAGTATAAATATAGGATCATTATTGTTCAACATGACATGATTGCCCTTAGGTCACTAGATTTTTGTGTCTAATTTAATCAAGCTCTGATTCTGAGTGAATGTAGGCTACAGAGCCTTCCAATGATAATCATATCAGATACTATTAACATTTTGTTATGAAATAATAAAAATAGTAGTAAACCTTTTAAAGTTATGTAGTAACTTGCTAATGTTTCTTCATTAAGGATGGTAGTGGCTTTTAGGTTTAGACAGACTTTTATATATTTTGTCCGTCTGTTCCTATTTCACTTAGAATTTTAAAAAATCAATATTGAATTGAATTACATACCTTTTCAGCTTCTATAGAGATAACTATATGGTTTTTATCTTTTGAAGTATTAATATATTGAATTAAAGTAATAGATTTGCAAAATTAAGTCATCATTGCATTTCTGGAATAAACCCTATTTGATCATGGTATGTTATTATAAATGTTGATGAATTTGGTTTCCTAATATTTAGAAATTATTGTTCTGTTATTTTCTTTTTGTGTATATGTGATATCTTGATGAATTTTGGTATTGAGCTCTAGGAATTATAAGGAAGAACATAAACACATAAAATTTAATTCACTTCTCTCAGTCTCTGACAGGCATTTAAAAGAATTAAAACAACCAAAAGAAATGATAGAGAATACCTGAGTAACATTTATAGAAGATTTATTAGAAATATACACTATAGCCTGAAAATAGAAAATTAGTCTTCTCTTTATGTGCCCTTTGAATATTTACAAAATTGATCACAAGGAAAGCTTGAGTAAATTCCAAGACATAGAAGTAAAACAAGTAATTGATGGAATCTAGAAACAAAACCCTTGACCACTTGGGACATTTTAAAACACAGAAACTACAAAATACTTAGAAAATACTGATCATGAAAATACTTTATAACAGAATCTAAAGTACTAAAGCAGTTCTCAGAGCAAAATTCATAGCTTCAATGACTTTTATTTAACAAGTATGTCAGAATGCCAACTGTCCACTGAGAAAATAATTTCTTCTTTCTAGGAACATAGCCGGACTATATATATACGTATATATTTCTATATCTGTATCTGTATCTCTGTCTATCTGTATGTTATTACAGAATTGAAAATTAAAACAACAATGAAATACTACTACATACCTATTAGAATCACAAAAATCTAAAACACTAACAACACCAAATGCTGACAGGTATGTGGAGCAACAGGAAACTCCTATTCATTGCTAGCAGGAATGGAAAATGGTATAGACACTTGGAAGACAGTTTGGTACTTTCTTACAGAACTAAACATACTCCAGGCACCTGGGTGGTTCAGTCAGTTGAGTGTCCAACTCTTGATTTCAGCTCAAGTCATGATCTCACAGTTCATGGGTTTGAGCTCCACGTCAGGCTCCATGCTGAGTGTGGAGGCTGTTTGGGATTCTCTCTCCCTCTCCCTCTGCCCCTCTCCTGCTTGCCTCCCTCTTTCTCCCAGTAAGTAAGTAAGTAAATAAATAAATAGCATTTAAAGTAAAATAAAAAATTTTTAAAAAGGCAACAGAATTGAGTTTTAGGTTTTGATGCTGTCGTATGTTAGATTAAATGGAATAGCAGATCTTGAGTTCATTTATAATGTTTATTTAAAAAAGTTTTTTAATCCTAGTTAATTAACATACACTGCTACACTAGTTTCAGATGTACAATATGGTAATTCAACAGTCCCATACATCACTCTGTGCTCATTAGGACAAGTGCCCTTCGTAATCCCCATCACCTACTTAACCCATCCCCCCCCCCACCGTCCCCCCTCGTAACTATCAGATTGTTCTATATAATTAAGAGTCTGTTTCTGGCTTTATCTCTTACTTTTTTCCCTTTTCTTGTTTCTTTTGTTTCTTAAGTTCCACATATGAGTGAAATCATATGGTATTTGTTTTTCAATTCTGTTGTATAAAAATCTACAGTATTCAAGCTTAATGATAATCTACTGTCAAGTCTCTGTAACCATGATAAAAAATACAAAAACATAAACTAATAAACTATTATTTAGAAGTTTATAAAAAAGGACAGATTCTTATACAACCAATGCAGATGACTATACTGCCATGAAAAGTAGGGAGACTTTGTAAAAGAAGGAAGGGTAAGATAGGGAAGAGATGAATGAGAACCATATTATTTTAAAGTATTTTAATTTAATTTACGGATATAGTGTCTACTAAATTGTTTTGCGTTACAAATAATTTTTTTTTTAATTTTTTTTTTCAACGTTTATTTATTTTTGGGACAGAGAGAGACAGAGCATGAACGGGGGAGGGGCAGAGAGAGAGGGAGACACAGAATCGGAAACAGGCTCCAGGCTCTGAGCCA